CTACCACCGATTTATTTGCCATTATTCTTGCTTCTCACTAGTCCATACTATACAGCTGGGGCCAGTAAATGTTTTCTATAAAGAGCCAAATAAAAAATATTCAGGCTTTCTGCCATAATTACTCAACTCTGCCAAAGTTGTACAATATCAGTATAGAACAAATGGGCATGGCAGTGTTACAGTAAAAGCTTTATTTAAAAAACAGGCGACTCTTGCTCAATAGTTATACTACCACAGTTTTCCTAGTTAACACTACTTCTTATATTGAAATATATTCTACATGGTCCCAAAACCTGAGAGAATATAATAAATATATTCAAGTACCAAACAAACAAACAAACAAACCATGAATGAATGTTTTCTTTTTTATCTATAAGGTGGCAAAAAAAAAAAAAAACAAACCTAATAAATTTGAATGAATGTTAAGAAATCTCAACAGGGGAAAATAAAACAAAAAACGAAATATACGTATGGTGGATGAAATGGTAATTTACAAAGAGCTCTAAAGAATCAATAAGAAATGACCGAGGATATAAGAAGTAAATAGTAAAAGGAAAACTACAAATGACCAAAATAGAGAAAAAGATGCTTAAAAAATAAAAATAAAAACTTAAAAAATAAAAACACACACAAAAATCTTTTTCAATTAGCAAATAGGTAAAACTGGTAAACATTGCTATGCACAAGCACAGAATATGGAAGGAATCAGATTCCCATATGCTATTGGAAGGAATGTAAATTATACTATCTTTTTGGGAACAAACTGGTTAATCTATCAAAATTATTGTGTTTAAAGCTAGCAATTACATTTGTAAACACTTAGATAGACTCATAAGTGTACAACAACTTATGTACATAAAAGTTAATCACAGAATTACTTTTAATTGAAAAAAACTGGAAACACCCTAACTGTGCATCTGCAGTGGTTTGGTTAAGTAAATAACGGCAGTTCCATATACTGGTATAGTATGCAATGAAATATTGTCAGCGAAAACTATACTGTTAAGAGAAAATGGCAAGTTGTAGAACTGCTGTGTGTATGTGTGAAAAATGATCCTATTTCTATTAAAATGTAAAACCATAACTATTTATATCTGCATATTTGTATATATATAGAAGGTCACATTTTTAGCAGATTTTATCTAGAATGGATGAAAAAAGTACCTTTTCAGTTTACAATATACTTCTGTATTGTTTGAATTTCCTTTTCTTAAAATAAGTTTATATTAATTTAGTAGCATTTAAAAGCAACTTAAAAGATAAATAAATAAAACAAAGTGATGATGTTCCCCTAAAGAACCTTCCAGGACTTTCCACTGGCTGGGGTATCACAGCCAAACTCTTTAGCATAAAATACATGCCAAAATAAAATGGCCCTGCTTAACTCTTCAACCCCAGCAAGTGCCTCTACGTAACACTCAAGTCATACTGCATTACTCAGGCACACTACAGTTTTCTGAATGTGCCTGGGTATCTGCTTACACTCCATGCCTTTTCTGCTTAGTAAAGACTCATTCACTTCAACCCCCATGACAGGCAGAAACAACACTTCCTTCTCTGGGTCCCCACTCTGCCTTATGTACATACACATCTCTTATGGTACCTATAACATTAATTTCTCTAATGATAGATATAGCAATAATAGTCATATTAATAACAGCTAATTAAGTGCATACTAGGTGATGGGCAGACAGGTGTTTTATATGCATTATCTCTAAGGTACTCTAAGGTTAAGAAATTGCTCAAGATCACATAGGTATTAAAAAAGAGCTATAGGTTTGAAACAGAAATGTATCTGACCACAGCTGTTTATTATTTTATATGTGTATGCGTATAAAAAGTACGAAAGTACCAAAAATCTCCCCATTAGACTATCAAATTCTTAAGGACAGAAATCATGTGTGAGTTATCTCTGTATCTCTAGCATCCAGCACAAAGGGGTATGCATAAACACCCAATAAATATTGAAGGCAGGTAGTCTCATCATCTCGTTCCACCCAGCACACGATGCATGGATCCCCTCTTCAACTTCTATCAAAGATGATGATGATCTGTTTCTACTTGGATAGTTCCAATGACAAGAACCACTGCCTTATGAGGCAACCCATTTCACATCTAAATAATTTTCCTAAGAACTCTCATTCATACTGAGAGAATCTGCCACCCTGTTAGCAAATGCAATCTCTGTTCTGCCTTCTAAACTATAAATAAGCAGCACTGTTCCTTTAAGTCGATGGAGCTATGATGTTTGAAGATTGTTAACCATGTCTTCATTTGCCTTTCATTCACTATCTTTCTCCCCGCTCCCTTCTCTTTTCTAAGCAAACAATCTCATTCCCCAAGTGATAGAGTTTCTTATCCCCTTCTCCTTGTGGTTACTCTCCTAGAAGACTTCAATCCATCAATTCCCTCTCCAAAGCAAGTCTCTACCTAGTAAGAAGCATTGTACCCAGATATCAAAAGTACTCAACAAGTATACAGCATGATTTCTGCCCTCAAAATCTTAGGAAAATATAACATACATTAAAGACAATCAGGTGTTTACCTGTAATTATTTGAAAACTACCCTTGAGGTCTCCCACATGCCAGGCACACTGCTGGGTACTTTAAAACAGCAGTCCCCAACTTTTTCGGCTTCAGGGACCTGTGCTCCTATGAGAATTTAATGCCTGATGATCTGAAGTGGAGCTGAGGGAATGCTAGCGCTAAGGAGCAGCTGCAAATACAGATGAAGCTTCGCTAGCTTGCCCACTACTCACCTCCTACTGTGCAGCCTGGTTCTCAACATGCCACGGACTGATACTGGTCCACGGCACAGAGGTTGGGGACCCCTTCTTTAAAAGCATTATGTGATTACATTCTTAAAATGATTTATTATTATTCCTACTTTATGGATGAGTAAATTGTCTCAACAAAGTCAAGGAACTGCCCAAATTCTCACTGGCTAGTCAAGATCATAACCAGGATCTGAACTCAAGTCTGCTTGACTTCAAAGCCATATTCTGGGTTTTGAAAAGAGAGAGTTCGGTCAAGAACAGGCAAGAGAAGGCTTCACGGAGAAGCCTTGAAAGGATCTGACTAAATATGAGAGGCAGACTGGTCGGTGGAGGAAAGAGTATGGTAAAGTGGAAGGGGTCAGGGAAGGAAGAAAAAATGTATGTTTCTGGGAAGAGTCTAACCATTTCCAATTACAATGTACCTTTAAAATCAGGCAGAGTTAAGGCAGGAGGCAATACAGAGGAACTGTAGACTCTTGAGTAGGTTAGTAATATATGAAAACAACTTTTATAAAAGTTAGTCTGGTAGCCCTATGCAGTATAAGTTGCAGTGGGAGGAGAATGAAGGCAGAGAGAACAGTTAGGAGCTGCTGCAATAACCAAATACCTCATATGTTTTGGACCTGACCTAGGATAGTAGCTTCAGAAATGGAGATAAGAAATCATATAGGCATTACAAAAGATTCTGCTGGTAATAGCTGGATGTTAGACTGAAGATGAAGGGTAGAGGAGAAAGCAAAGACTGATTCTAAGATTTCTCATCTGGGGGAAGTAAAGAATGCTAGTATTATTGACAGAAATGAGACAATCAAAGAGGAGAACCAATCTGCAAAGTGAGCAGGAGACATGTAAGTTGATGTGTTAAATGATGGCGCACACAAAGAAAGAAGCTTCTGCTGATAAGAGAGGTCACATCTGATGCCTACAGACTGAGAGGCCTTGTTTTTTGGGTGACATACTAAAATCACACCTTGTTTATAGTCATTCGTAACACATCAACAACACCCAAACCAGTTGTGTAAATTCTGTCATTTATACAATCTAAACATAACTTCTTTAGAAATATGATTCCTTGCTCAGCTATCAGAAAACATTAAGACATAATTTCAAGACCACCTGAAATCAGTCTCCGTGTTTTAGAGTCACACTGTAAGTTTTACTATCATTCTTTATCAAATTCCTATCTCTATGTGTTCTCCCCTTCTAAAGATTTTCTATAAGTGAGTTTAAGTGAGTTTGATCACTGAGGAAAGAAGTTTTCTGGTTTACCTCCTTTCACCACGGATTTCAGACTTAACTCTCTTGAAAAACAAACAAACAAAAAGAAACCACTCTTGTTCTGACCTTCTCTACTCTCAAAAGCCTCTCTGTCTCATCTGTTTAATTCTTGATTTTGACTCAATAACATTATTTCCCACTTTCTGTCCTCAAAGAGTACCTGGTATAACTTTATCACTTACTCATTTCTTTTCCTTATTCTCATCCAGGAAGAAAAGGAGAGACCAGGTTTCCATCTGCAGAATGATCCAGAACATGTATTCTAAACAGGGTTAGCCCAGAATAAACTATTTCTACGTTTAGCTACGAGTTGGGATGATAATAACAAAGCTTTGCCTGACTCACAGGATGGTTGTAACAACCAAATGACATAATTCGGGGTTAATACCCAAATGCATGCAATAAAAATTGGTGCAGTTTGCTACAATTAGGCAAAAAATCTGGTTCTAAACTTCCTTTCAGAGAAGTGCTCAAAATCCCTCCACACTTGGGGCAATCCCAGACCTCTACAAAAGCAAAACATAGCAGTGAGCCGGGAGTCCCAGTGGCCACTGTGAGTTCACTGCATACCAAGCACAGCAGTGCAGTCAGTTCTGCCTGCAGAACTCAGACAGAACTCATTATCTTACTGCATCTTTAAAGGACAATAGGTGTAAAAACACAAAAGACAAGGATGTAAGCAGGATAAGTATTCTACTTTAATTGCAAATAAAAGAAAATCCTTTTAGTACAATACATTCAGTACAATGCTATTTACAATTCTGAGTAAATAGAATTCAGAAAACTTGATTTTGGATTCCAACTAAATTGAAGAGAAGAAAAATACTAAGAAAGGATCTGCAGTTTAAAAATATTCCTTTTGGGGCAGTAAATAAAATTAGCTTTTTGTTTAACTAAAAACAAAGTTTCAAGTAAGAATCTAACTATACCAGAAAAACAAAGTACCTGTGAGCTTGATTTTGGATAGTCGAGCCAAAATTCCTGGCAAATCGTCCACATGCAGCTTCATCTCTTTCCACTGCTTTTCATCTTTTGTCTCTTTTCCCACTTCTATTGAGCCTTGAATTACTGAGGCAGATTCTAGTTCTATCAATTCCTTTTCACTTGGCTTTCTGGACAAAGATAGGCTGGAGGGTGAAAAAGGTTTCATCTCATATATTTCTGCTTTGGCTTGACCCGAAGATGTTTTTTCAAGGAAAGGAGATGCCACTGGTTCTGGCTTTGGTTTTACTTGCTGGCTGAGACTTCTGTTCAGTTGCGTGACATACTAAATTTAAAAACTACATATTACTATACAAAACCCAAAATGCTCTTAAATGGTTGTTACACCTTCTATCAGTCCAACTTTTATGGTACTTAAAAGATTTTCCTATAACTTTATAAATACATGGTAAATTAACCAATATTAGAGTGTTTGGTAAAATGGAAATCACTAGACTAAGAGATATGAAGAATACAATTAATGCCTTGGCACTGGTTTTCAAATTCAATGGTTCAGAAAATTCTAGAAATTTAAATTCCTTGAAGGAAAAATAAACTTATTTCTTATTCATCCCCTCTAGAATTTCCTCTAACATAGAACCAGAAACTGGTGGTTTAACATTCAAATACAATGAAAAAATTTTCTATAATCAAGAACCCAAATCATTGTTGACTTTCCACGCTCCTAGGCAAACAGTGCAGAGGAGCTCAAGATAGTGCATAATCCATGGCTAAGCGACACTACAGCACGATGTATGAGGAATGAATGTGGGTTTTAGAGACAGACAGTCTCTACTGCTTATTAGCAAGAAGTAATTATTACTAGCAGCCATGAGGCACTTTATAGTTTTATATAATGTGTATCATTATAGTTAAGTAGTTATGTAATAGATATCTCATTTAAGGTTTTTGACAGGTGTAAAGATAGATTATTATTCATATCTCCCTCTTTAATTTACAGATGAGGAAATCAAAGCTTGAAATAAACTGACAAAGCCATGAGTCAACAAGCAGCTAGTTATAGGTGGGACTAAAAGCCACCTATCCTGATAACTAGTTAAGTAATTTTTCCGTTACACATACTAGTCTTAGAAGGAACTACAAAGTCATGAATGAATCCAGAGTTCTGTTTACGTACAAAAGGCATTATACATATTTGAGTCTCTCTTCTAAATATCCATTATCCTTGAACCCCAACTTAAAAAGTCTAAACATTACTGGAAATTTAACTCTTTTATCAGAACAATGAGTTTTATAATATTTTAAGTTTTAAGTTAAAGTGGACATTTTAAGTTAAAAAAGATGAGATGAATGTCAAATAGAACTTTAAATTATGAATTTGCTATTATTTCATGCTCTAATAATAAGTTCTTAGCTGTCAGTTCTCCATTCTATGACATTTTTCTATTTGAGAAAATGGCAAATGCTCTGACTGGTAATTTGGAGTAAGTTACCATGTTGCCAACAATACTATGGAGCGAATCTAGATATAGGTCTACAAGAGGACTTAGATTATCAATGTCTACTACAAAATGCCTAGCAAATTACAAAAACTGTTTGAGTACTTAGAAGTGCATGTATTTAAAAAACTTTTAGATTTTTGCACTGCTAATATAACAAGAGGATCGCACTGTTAAAGCAATTATTTCTGTATCACTGATGTATTTATAGAACTTTAAAGAATTTAAAAAGATGTATTATAACATATAACAGTTCAGCTTCTTAATTTTGGTGTCAAAATATGCCAGAAGTTTTCAAGCTTTCTCCAAATTTAATGAGTAAGTTCAAGATCATACTTTAAAGCTCAGAATTATTCTGGTTTTGGTTAAGAATAATCAGAACAAGGGATTAAAGTTTTGAATAAACTTAAAAGTACAATAAATGAAAGTCCTTTTCAAACAGACTTCCTACAGCTCTTCTTATAATAGTAATTTCTAAAATTCTCTCATACAGAGAAAGTAAAAGCAAATACCAGAGTAAGAATTGTCTTCTGAACATACCATACGTTTAAGAAAGGTAAAGTGCTGAAATGTAATCCACTGCTTATTGATGTTCCTAAAATGATGCATAAACTTGTGAGGGGATTCCTGCACAGCTCTTCTCTCTAGATACCAAACACATCCTCCTACCCGACCTGTAATAAAGAGAGAAGGGGAAAAATAGTTAAAATGATTGCTATTTCTCATCAAATGACTGCACCTATCCAGAAGCAAAGCCAGCACCATGGTAAGCAATGCACATGTGATGGGTCAGAACTCTGAAATTATTTAATCCAGATTTGTGAATAAATGCAATTTATTAGCCCAATTTATTGTTTAAGTCAATGTAATTCTTCAACAGGACTAGGGAAATTTTTCATTTCAGGATCATTATGCTTTTATTATATTAAGTGCTGAAAAGATATTTTTAAGAAGAAAATACAAAATAATCAATTTAGTAACTTTTAAAAAATATAAAATGGGCATTTTTTTCTCAATAAATAACTGTAAACTGGAATATATATTTCAGATTAATATTTTGGCCAACTAAAAAGGTGAGGAAATAGTTCCCAATAAGGTATGACTCTATCAATCTACTTAGGAAGAAGCTATTTTTGTTGTATAAGAATCTGGCTTTTAATTATTATTCTAAACCTTTTCTCAAATATCAGCAAATCCAATGCTTCTTTGTAAAGCCTCATCCCAGTCAAGCCTTCAAAGTGTAATGGTACAGATTCTCCCTTTCTTTTTAAGAATCTCTTCTCCCATGGCTCCATGACACTAATAGTTCCTGGTTCTTTCCACCTACCACTCATCACTTCTCAGTTTCCTATGGTATCTCCTCTTGCTGTATCTGCCATTTTCAGACAGTTCTTACTGTTCTGAACATTATATATTGTCCCTTAGCAAATGCAATTATAGGGTAATTTTTAATCTTCAACCCACTTCTACAGTCACTATGCCTATCACAACTGCTCTTTATCTCCACATGGATGAGCTGCAGTGTCTTTAGGAACACTTTATTCTCACCCATATCTCTGCTCTGTTCTCTATTACAGATAAAACCATTACCTACTTAAGACCTCAAGAACATCCTGAATTCTTCCTTCATCATTTAATAACCACCAAGTCCAGTAAACTCTGAAATATAGGCCAAATTCTTTCCATTCCTACTGATCCAGACCCTTATTATCTTACATTTGGATTACGGTAACAGTCGTAGGATTCAAGCCAGTCATCCCAACTTCAGTAATTTCTTTTGTTCTCCAATTTAAGTTCCATAAAGCTAATGGTTTTCTTCCTGAAGCTCAGAATATGCATCACTCGCCCAAACGTGTACATATAACTCAATGTAGCAACACTGCCTCATCACCCTCCACTAAGACCACATACTTCACAATTTTGTTCACTTTTGTTTATGTTGCTCACTAGCTTGCAGTGTCTTGTCTCACCTGTCAAATTTCCAGTCTCATGTAACTACCCTCTCACTTTATATACTTTTTTATGGCACTTCTTAAGCAAAACGCACCTGTCAAATTTCCAGTCTCATGTAACTACCCTCTCACTTTATATACTTTTTTTATGGCACTTCTTAATGCAAATCGTTTCCATTTGTTTCCGCCATAATTTTTAGTTCCTTGGTGGCTGGGACTTACTCACTTTTGCTACAACAGCCAGCAGAGTGCTTTCCATATAATAATGAAATAATGTTTGATCATCTCCACAGTTTACTTAGACTGTGAGAAGAACTATCACTGCCCCTTGCAATACATGGCAATCATCTTAGACTGGAGATATGTCACTTCTTCACTGAAATCAGATTCTCAAATCTCAATTACAAAATGCTTGTTTTCCATTTATGTGACTGTGTGTTTGCCTGCATATGTATACATGAAGGAATAGTAGCATTTTTCAAAATTTTTTGAAATCAGTTTTTGGATATTCCAGTTTTATTTATATTTTTACTGGTGCATATTTTCCCTTTTTGGCCTTAACATTGTTATTTAAGTTAACAGGATTTCAATATTGAACAATTCTGTCAAGAAGACATCAAAGTTTTACTGTTCTGGGCCTTAATTTCAAAACCAGTTTTGAGTTCTTCACGTCCAGTGAGAAAAGCATGTTGCCAGGAGGAAAATAAAATGAGGTGAGCAGACAAGTAACTGAAAAGTCCTGAATTTTTTTTAATGGCTATAAAATACTTTGAATTTTTTGAAGCAAACTCAGACATGACCACTAGGTATGTAATATAGTCCCAGATTATCTCTCTGCCATCCCTTCTCACCATGCTGCTTCCACAGTGGATCTTCAAAGTGGATCAGAGTAAATCATACAGACCAATTACTAGCATTATTGGTGATTATGTTCATAGCTTCAAGAAGCTAAATGTCTACTAATTCCTTACGAGGAATGAAAAGACTGATCCAGCAAAAAACCATGTGGGCCATATGCAGCCCACTAACTGGAACTGGGGAATTCTGAGCAGCCAAGTGGAATTGTCCTATAGAAAGTCCAAAGTACAAAACTGAAAGGCAGAAAAGCAATGAGTCTGTTCAAGCACTAAGAAAGGCTTAGCCCTAAGAGAATGAGTGTCTATGGTCAGGATCAAAGAATACTCACAGTCAGGGATAGCAGAAAGCAACAAAGAAGCAATTCAAAAAGAATCACAGACCTTTAAAAAACCTTTTCATTGTGAAAAATTTCAATCACATACTAAAGCAGAATACAATGAGCCCCATTACTTTTCCCTCAGCTTCAACAATTACCAATCTTGTTTCATCTATACTCCAACTTCCCGCCCTCTTTCCCACTTTTTGAACCAGAAGGGACCTTTAAAAGCATCTAGTTCAACTGCCTCATTTTATAGATGAGTAAACTCAATTCCAGAGAAGTCAAATAATTTGTCCTGACATCACACAGACCAGAAAAGACCCATAAATAACAATGCCATGAGAAAAAAGTGAAGAAATTTCAGAATCACAGTGATCTATATTGCCAGATGCTGCAGAGAACTTGTGATACATGGGGCCTGAAAAGTTTCTGGGATTTGATTTAAAAAAGAGTCCCTGGATTCACATTTCCATCTCTAATATGGACCTGTGGGAACACATTCCTCATACAGCCCTTCGTCATCACCCCAAACTACTGGAGTCAAAATAATTTCCAACTTCTTCTTTAATATCTCCAACAGGGCAAATTCCATTCATTCACAAATAATTACTGAGAGACAACAACGTACACCAATTACTGTTCTGAGCACTGGGGGGCACAGAGGTGAATCACAGAAAAATTGTCCCTGCCTTCACAAGATTTACATTCTAATTGGGAGAAATATATGATAAACCGGTGTACATAAATAATTACAGACTGTGCTAACCATGATGAGAGAAATAAGCTGATTAGAGGAGAGGGGCAGGAGCTCTATTTATATAGGATAGGCAAGGTAGGCCTCTATGAAAAAGTGACATTTGAACTGAGACCTCGCAGAGGGCCAAAGAAGCACATTCCATCTTCAACATACATAGCTGTTAGGCCCTTCAAGTAGGAGCATTACATCAGGGACCACGATGAATGGTCCAAAGCTAAAAAATCTGAAGCTATGGCGCAAGGTCTGCAGTTTTCATCATTTTCATTACCAAAATTTACATCATGACCATTGATATTGTAAGAAGGCTTCTGAGTGGGGACAAAGCGCTTTCCTTGTCCTTATATGCCAGTGGCTAGGAACGGAGGCTCTGATAAGTCAAAAGACTCATGGAGCCCTAAGATTCTACCCCGTCCTCTCTTTCCAGCTTCCACTCTATGAAAATCGAAAGAAACACTAGACACCGCCCCTCCAGGGGACCGGAACGGAGGCAGCATGAACAGCCAAAGACACAGTGCAATACTAGACCCTGGCCCTTTGGCCTCACCACTAAAGGCTACTCTCTAGGTCACATCCTCCCACCGATGCACAGCCGACCTCGCCAAGGGCTCCCAAGGTTGCAGCAAGCCGGAACCACAGTGTTGCACGTGGCAAAAAGAGAACTTTCCCAAAGTCGTGCCCGACAGCGCGTGCAATACCTGTAAGGAGGCGTGAGGAGAGAGTGTGCGGGGATGCGGCCATAACGTAAGAGTCTGGTCGCTCCCCGAGATGCCCGTGTCCTCTCGCCTCACCGGCTGCTGGGCGCCGCCATATTTCTTCCCCGCCCCCAGTGGGAAGAGAGACGCTTCCGGTTCGTCACTTCCGCCGGTAGGGAAGCGGAAGGGAAGGACTGTGGTTGTTGGTATTTGAAACCGGACGGACCTGATAATGCTGAACTGAAGGTCGGAGGCATGTGGTACTTTGGGGAAACGTGAGAAGCACCGTGTGGCTATGTTTTCTGGAAGAAAAGGCTGCATGGGGATGGCGGGCCCACACTTCCCGGTCCCAGAGGTTTCCTGGCGTTCTCTGGCCGTATTTGAGTGACCTCTTGGCGTGGGCGGGGCCTGGCTGCGGACTGCTCGCGGGCAACTTAAAGTTACGTTTGGAATACTTCTTGGTGCTCGAATCGCCAAGAGAAAATGGTCCTTGGGACAATGCCTCCACCCTCCAGCCTGATCAGTTACAGTTTTCGTAATTTCGCTGTCAAATGGGAGGAGCGATGAAGTCTAGGTTGCGTGTCCCTGATCCACACCAGAGAAGGGAATTCTCAGAATATCTCAAGATGAAGAAGGTGCGTATAGCGGTTAAGATTTCAGGCTCTGGAGTGAGATTTGTATTCTACTTTGGGCTCCACCTCCTGACCCTTGTGACCTGCTTGAGCAAATTTCCTGAACCTCGTTATCTAGCTGATAACAGGAATAATAATAGCATATATTGTAGGAAATGGTTGAGAGAATCAAATAACGTATTTCTAGTGGGTAAGCAAGTGCCTACCACATATAAGCACTAATAAATTATCAGTAGTGCTGTGATTAATTACTAGGGCAGATCTCAGCAGCCCTCCATGTGTTTTTCATGTTGGAGTTCCACAAGTACACAGAAGAAAAAAGATTTAGCTTTTGAAAAAGAAGAGAAAAATAGGTAACTGGGATCTATAAGGTCTATTTCTGTCTGTCTGCATAGATGGGGTGAGAGCCATTTTGGCTCACCTTAGCTAACTGCTAGGCACAGGGGATACTGGAAAAAATAAGGCTCCTTGATTCTGTAGGAGCTTACACTATACCAGTGTGGGCCAGGGTTTTGTTAATTAATGGAGTCGGTGTGATGGGGTAATAATGTAGAAAGTGCTGCAGAAACAGGTAATACTTTCCTTAGGTCAAGAAAGTCCTCAGAGGTTTAAAGTTAGTACTGAATTGGAGGAACAGTAGATTTTTTTCCTGCATATAAGAAAGGGAAAGGATATTTCATGAAGAGAAAAACAGTTTCAATACTACGTTAAACGTTTTGAACCGCCTTATAATTGTTATGGCGCGAACGATTCTGAGACCCACGGACCCAATTGAGATTAATTATGAGCCTTTATTAGCCGGCCGGCGACTGACTCTCTACCGCGGGGTTTGGGGAGATCAGCCCCGAGCTCCCAAAAGAGGCAGCTTATAAAGCCTAGAACTACACCCTGGTTTAACATAAAACAAGCAAACAGATTAACCACACCCTAGTTAACATCAAACAAGCAAACAGATTACAGAAGCAGAAGTTGACCGTTAGCATATCTTTGCCCAGAACCACACCCTTAACACTTTCATATTTCATACGTTTAACAGTCAAGCAGATTACGGAAGTGGAAGTTGGCTGTTAGCATATCTTTGCCCGGAACAACACCCTTAATTAACAAGTAAATAGATTACAGAAGTAGACACTGGCCATCTTCATATCTTATACAATACGCTTCCTAAACCACACACAAGCAAGTAGGACAACTTCTGGTATCTAAAGATATTTCTTCCCTGTAGCTGACTTAGCTAGTTGGCTCACTTGAAAATTTTCCACTCTTAACAATAATTTTCCATGTGCTTTTATAAACATCATGTTTATGACTAATATGTTATCCTGTTTATGACTAACATGTTAAGGCTTAAAGAGTTTTAAGTGACCTGTCCAAAGTCACCTACTGTGCTGAGCTCCAGAACCAAGACAGGAATCCCTGATAACTGTTATAGTGTTATTTCCACCATGCCATACAGCATTAATCACCTAGCATCTAGAAGGGTCACAGCCTCTGTGATTTATAAAGCACAGTATTTCAACTTTGGCTGCCTGTCAGAGTCACCTGTAGAACTTTAAAAATTACAGATGACTGAGCCACCTTCAGACCTTTTAAATCAGAAGGAGTGTGGAGTGGATGGAAGGGACCTATACTTTTCTTTTTAAAGCACCACGAGTGATTTGGGTACACAGAACTGAGAATTACTGGACTCCTTTTTTTTTTTTTTTTTAACTGGACATCACAGCTATGTGTAAAAGTTTAATGAACACAAATGTTTTATTTCATAAACTCAGAAAATATGAATTCCCAAGTTCTCTAGGCTTATGATATACACGGGGTTAAATAGACAAATTCCTCTTTGGCCAACAGATTTTTCCTGTATTTAAGTCTTTTACAAATATAGGGCCAAGGTATAATCAAGTACACAAATGAGTGCATAGGCTATTATTGAGAGAAACCAGAATAAATGTTTTATGGAAGAAATGCCTAAAAGATGAATACATTCTGGTTTGATTAGTCAGGAACTGCATTCACCTATCTAATATTTGTAATTAAGTTAGCATAGGTTGATAATACCAAAGTAAACCATCCTGAAAAGTAATCTCTGGAGATACTTCTGGAAAGAAGAGGGTTTCGTGGCCAATACATTGATTTAGCACCCCGTAGCTATCAGAAAGGCTGAGAAAACAGAAGAAGATTGCAGTGATTAGATTGGCCAGTCACAATCCATCATTGTGGACCTAGATGTTGCTGTTCCAAATACCATGAAAACTTGGGAAATGCTGGCATTACACACAGCCAAACAAAAACAAACAATTTTGGAGATGAGAGCATCTTCATATTGACAATTTTTTTTTTTTTTTTTTAAATTCTAAGGTGAATCAGACTTCCTGATTTCAAACTATCTTGTTTCATTAGACTTACTCTTCCTGGACAAGTTTCCTTAGAAAATGCCATATATAACCTCTGCCCTTTAGTCAATGTAGAGTAATAGGACTTATAGAAGTAGGCCTCAGGTATCCATACAGCTCAGCTTTCTCATTTCATAAGGATTTGAAAACTGAGGTGTAGAGAGATTCATTTACTCTAAGTGATAGAACTTTGTTTCCAGACATCCAAGCCAGCATTTTTTTCACATCACATTATCTTTTTGTCCTTCACTCTACCTTTAGCATCTTCACTAATGAAATGATGTAGGATCCTACAATTAGAATATTTATTTAATTTTGGATTTTGGGATTTTTACATTTTGAGTAAAATATGTTTTGTAGATTGTTTTTAGTTATCTGTTTATTTTGTTCAGTATTGCTAATAGAAAGAGATGCAAAGAATTAAAAACATTTTTAGCTAATAGCATAATTTTAAATATCCCATAATTACTGAAAGTCATGTTGTATCATTCAATCTTATGTTAATGTGCTCATTACAGTTATCACTTATGTATTTTTAAATATGATTCTCAATAATCAATGTAAAGCTTTGTATCTTGTTTCTTAAAATTAATGTTATTAAACTTTACCTAGATAATGACTCCTCTTATTTTCCTTAATGTTTCAGCATTCAGTTAAAAACTTAGCTATTCTCGAATCCCACTTTGTCCTGTAATGGATTTGCTTCACAATTTGAAGGCAAAATCTCAAATAAAATTTCTCCTTGGAGAGTTTTTCTACATGTACTGAATTTTATGCCATATGACATGACTTCTGAGTAGATGCTCGTTCAAAGTCCAGAATAAATACTACATTCTCAGACTCCCTTGCAGCTTAGTATGACTCTGTGACCAATTCTGATCAGTGGGATAGAAGCAAAAGTAATGTGTTTAACTTCTAAGTGTCCTTAACAGTAGAGAGCAAGTCTTCCCTTGCTCGCTGGAATTCACATAAGATGGCTGGAACTTGAATAACATCTTGGATCATGAGGTCCAACATTTGAACAACATACGATCACATAGAGGCCAGCAGAGCAAGGAGTTTTGGGTACCTACTGGATATGGAACTGCCATCCTAGCCCTGGACTGATCACATGAAGAAGAAATAAATTTCTCACGTTTTTAACACACTATTACTTTGGGTTTTCTCTCGTCTGCAGTACTTCTTAATTCAAACCAATATATCCTTAATGTGAGTATAGATAAACAGTAAAGTTAAATGAACAAAAATGCCTGGCTCATACCTCAAAAAAATGATGGCTGTTACTATTAAATGACTATGCTTCAAAGGCAGCAAAGATAAATGTTAATAGTTTTAAAATATTTTAGAAGGAAATTTGGGGTTATAATATTCCAAAAATGTGTTGGAATAAAGCAGCTTGATAAAGTTTATGGAACTCAATCTAGAAAAAGGAATTAAAAAAAAAAAAAAAAGATTTGTATGTTCTTCCTGTGCTATTTAAGGATAAGGGCACCAGGAGTTTAGACTGTCAGTCCCAGTTTGTTAGACACAAGATCTATGATGTGGAGAATGGGAATTATTTAGAAATACTCCTAAAGATCATTCAACTTCCCTCGCTCTGGTATTCACCACATTAGTTTCTCACTTATCATTTTTACTCTATGGTTGACTCTAGTTAATATTCTTTAGGATGAGGAAAGAAGAGAGCCAACATGGGTAGGATAGGTACAAGTATATTACTGGGCATGTTGCTAAGAGTCCAGCTTTTGGAGAGAGTCAAAGGAATTAAAATAATGGCTTTCCACATAATATCTTCTCTTTAGATTCAGTCTTTTGAAATTACTGGACTTTGGATTTTCCTTTCTTAAAGTATATTCCTCACCCCTACCTATCACCATTGATGGTTCCTCCTTGGTCCCATGATTTTGAGAGTAGATGTTGACAAGACAGGTCTAGGTATTCTTGCTTCTGAGAGGCCTTTTGCTTTGAAAGGTGCCCAGGAAAACGGTGGATGCTCAGGCCCTTTCTAGTCAGATAGGCTCCCATTAGATCTAACTGTTCAAAGTTAGGGCTTCCAGGTGGCTGTACACATCCAGAACCTTTCTGTAATAAACAGTAGCTTTTATCTTCCCTTATGCTTGGAGGCTTAGTTAAGGTATCTGCTGTTATAAAAGGCAACTTGGATGTGGAGAAGCATAGAGTATTTCAGGACCCTGTCTTTGTCTCTTTTTTGACAATGCTACTTAGACTAGTCCAGTCTGGCGATAGAAATTACATCAATTACATGAACAGATAATTTAACATGAAGGTTAACATGTATCAAGTTGTTAAGTAATGGAAAGGGTGAAAAGAGAACTTTAAGGTGTCACAGATGTAGCAACTATAGGAAGCAGCTGCCACCTCTATGGCTGGGGAAACAAAAGGAAGAAGTCAGGATTATTACAGTGCAGAAATGGGAACAGGGGCACTGTGCTACTGGCGCTGTGGTCTCTGAGGGAGACCTGACCAAGCTAGTTCTCTCTGTTTTAAAAAAAAAAAGACAGTACTGGGCCTAGCGGCTGCTACAGAAGTAAAGAAGCAGTGGAATAAGGCTCACAGGAAATGCAAGCAGGTAGGAAGCAGAAGGAGGAAGTCCCTCCTCCCTTTTCCAGTCCTTCAGCATTGCTATCCCCTATTGGCAGAGCCAAACAGCTTTCAGGAGTGTGTCTGGCAGACTCCCAGCCCCAGCACCACTAGACACAGATTAGAAGGGTAGTTTGGAGCCAGAGCAGATAACCCCTGTGAGCTCTTATTGAATAGATGTTCTACTCTAAGCGAACAGATAGATTCAAGTTTACAAATCAGCCTCCTCTGAGCCTGAGTAGCATGAATCAGTTCCTAGGATCTCTTAACAGTTCTTCCAAGGTAACTGATAACAGGATGAAATCCTAGTCCAAGATCACTCCAATCAACATTATACCTAAGCTATAACCTGCCAGCTACCCTTTCCATCTCTACTCCCCAGGGCTCAATTCCATCCATGACTTTTGGAATACCAAAGGTGAAAAGTGCAGTTCAGGAATGCAGAAGACAGAACCAACCCTAGGAGATGAATTGTGATTGCTTTAAGTCATTCACTTTCATCTGATACTCCCTTTCCCAGAGTTTCTTATAGCTAGAGATATCCATGTTACCCATTTCTGGTTAGAGAGATAGGAAAAACCTACTGGCAAGTTTTCTGTGAATAATTTTGTTTACTGCTTAAAGAGCCAGGCATGCAAAGGCAGGTGCTCTCTCGGCATTTCCCCTTTTATTCCCAGGAAAGAGGACTGAGAATGTTATTCCTGACATGGACTCAGCCATCTTATAACTATGAAGTGTCAAGCATGAGGACAAAAAAAAAAAAAAATATGCTGAGGATGACAGAGTGGGAAAAGTAGAGTCCAGT